TCTGTGTAATTACCTTTACACCAATAGAAGCATTTGCATTACTTTTGTTTTTATATAATCTAGCAGAATAGGATTTAGAACAGCCAATTTAATACAATAACACCTGAAGTCTTAAGTGACTGACCGAAAAAACCTTATATGAAAGAAGTATAACTAACTGCCCACTACTCTGTTAAGTTTTAGTAGTTTACATTACTTTCCCATGGGATTTTTTCAGTCATTTATAGTTCATTGCTTCATATGGCTATAGAATCCCTGCTGTGTTAAAAAATGCCAAGTAAAATTATATCTCATTCACTGCTTTATGCTATACCTTCTTTTGTTCAGATCCAATTAGTGAAAGCTTGTTCTTCATTTATCATACTTTTAGCTGATTACATTAGGCATTACAATAGTTCTCTAGCTTTCCTTGACAATGTTTGCACCATCAGTGTTACATTTATGGTTGAGGAGGCTCTTTCATCTTAACCCTCTATTCCAATCAGTTCAGGGGGAAAAAGTACATACGACTACTCTTGTTCAGCCAAAACTTCTTTGCTTGTTTTCTCATATCAAATATAATTCCACCAGATGTTTTAATTAAAAAAATAATCCAAGTTCTACTGGTCCTTCCTCACTTTACCTAAGTGTAAAGAATATTTTGAAAGTTGAACACTGAAGTTAAAAAAAGAGAACCCAGCATTTTGAACAGTGCACAACTTTTCTCCTCTGCTTTCCCCAGAATAATAGATGTAATAAAAAAGTATTGCCCAGGATTTTCAATACCCTAAAAGGATCCATTATGACCTACGTTTTTGAAAACAGTCAGTACCACGTGAGCAACTGTATCCTCCATGGGGGTCTCAGTAGCCATTTTGTCGAGCTTTTTTCCCCAACCACCACAGTTATTTTTACTTCAGGACAATTGTTAAAGCAGCAGCTTCTCTACCACAGCACAATTAACTTTAGACATAACTTTTTTTCCAAGTTCATACACCCTCCCACCTCCACAAAGATAAATGTAATTCAATCCCATTTAATACCATTTCCCGCCATCTGTAACTTTGCATTAATACAGATGCATCCAAAAGTCTCTGCAGTCACCCATCTCCTTTTAAGTTTTGTTAATGTTCTCTTCTTTATGACCACAAAAATTTAATCTATAAAAATCTTCCAGATCTTTGGTCATTTTTTAAATTAAGAGCACAAAACAGTTTATTTTGTTATTTGTATTTTCCCTCTTCAGGTAAGCTTTATTTGGCTCTTGGCAGGTTGTTCAATTTTTGCCACATTCCCAGTTTATAACAGTCCTCTTTGCTGCTTCCTGTTCATAACGGCAAAGTTTTAATTCCTTGAAATGAAAATTACTTTATGCTCTGAGAGTCTAGGGACTAGTTTTATCTATTAATGATAAGTATGTCAAAATTAATATTGCTCTAACAGCACACTCAAGATGTATGCCCTGGTGCACTACAGAAACTAAGTCTGAAGACCAAGAGAAAGCTGTTTCATGGAAACTTTCTATGTATTTCAGCCATTCCCACCACTTCTATTCAGCACTGTAAACTCCACAAGGACTTCAGATAATTTTAAAATTAAAAAAAAAAAAAAAAAAAAAAAATTGAACATTTAACCAAAAAACCCACACCAAAATGAAGCTCTAGGATAAGACTACTCACTAGCAAGTCTTACACTACCTGCATTCAAAGACAATTATTTTAAGGCTGTATACCATTCCTATCTGAACACCAGTTAAAATGCCTGCTTCAGTCATTTATGCGTATCACTGGATAGGGAATAAATTAGAACCTATCACTAAAGATATCACTGAATTGCTAGATACGTTGTGACACTTTTCTTCCTCCCCTTAAATATTTAGTGAGTTAACTGAAGGAACTCTGCCTCAGCTGAATTTCAGTTCTGTTTTCAACCAATATGCCAGAAAGCCAAAGAGATGTAACAGACAGACTGGAATGCCTTCTTTTACAGTTATTTTTGTAACAATGAATTCATATTAAGTGTATCCAGCTACCCAGTTGTCAGCAAGTAGCCACAGAGATGATGTAATCTATATACCTGTAACCTATATAGCTACAGGCAATGTAATAAGGGGCTATTACTATATCTCAAAGGTTACTCCAAGTTCTAAACAGAAAATTTTTCTACTCCAATTAGTGCTATTTATAAACACATTAATTAAAAAAAATTATTTTTGTAAACCACCCCTACCTGCGCTAGTCACTTAAAACCACATCCCACTGGATGGGCAACTAGTTCAATTGCATGCCTTGACATTTATTCCTGTCTTTGGTTCTGTGACCATCATCATCAGGGTAGCTGCCTACCATATTCATTGTCTTTGCAATACAGGTCATGAAGGAGTGAGAGATGCTCTGTCAAGCACAAAATCAAAAGAATATTAACAGCAGCATCCCACCACTAAACAAACAGGTTTCTCCTAGCTCCTTGAGGACAGAGGTTCCTTTGGCAGGTTGCATCAGCTCCCAAGTTTGACTTCAGAGCATTTAAGATTTCACTATGACTGGTACAACCAAGAAAGCAGCTGTTGATGGAAACTGAGTACAACTATGGGCAAATATGGTTGGTTACTTTACAGTAAGTAACAGAGTCAAAAAATTCGGCCTCTGGACTCCTCTATCAAGACCATCCAAACTGGCAATCGCACACATCATTGCAACAGGCCAAGCCATTCCCACCGTGAATACCTGGAGGTATCCAAGTCATTAAGACAGGCAACACTAGCTACACTATTTCCAGTGCAAGCACACAAGGTAGTGATAAAGGGATGTATGGTAGACATAAACGGTGTGTATAATTAGACAAAAAGACTACCTTAGACTTAAGACCACTTCCTTATTTTAAGCGTACAGAAGAGTGTTTCAAGTAGCCTGCCTCTCATTTTCTTTAAATACTTGGAGCTTCAATGCACACAGTCACTGTTTAACCTCGCACAGATCAGTTTGATCGGTCTTTAAGGATCCAAAGAGCTCATCAGACACTATGTCACCCTAACAGCATCTGTTAGTTTCATCTCTTGTTCATGAACTCACAATGTCAGCATCCCATTTAACACACTTAATGTTAGCTTTATGAACTGCCATAAGTATATTAATGCATTTCTGAGATACCAGCTTGGATTTCCTTTCTCTTGTGAACTATTACAAATTAAAGACCCTATTTGTCTTTTAAAGCTAAGACAGCACTGTAGATTGAAGCAGCATAGACATATTTTCAATTTCCTCTTTGTGATGCACTATTTGCACTCCCTTCCCTAAGGTCACGAGTTATACTTTTTCATGTCATTCTTACTCCCTCATTATGTTCTTCAATCTTAGTTTTTACTTACTGCTTCCAGATCTTTTCTTAGTCTCCAGCTCATAGAGTCCACACAATAAACAGATACACTGGAGAGAAGACCATTTTCTCAAGTCTATTATGGACTGGTGAAAGAACATGTTTTCTTTTTTTTTAAACAGCTTTTTAAGTCTGTTTTCAGGATGAATTCACGCCAGTGAACAAGGCTATACAGTGCTGCTAAACAGTCAATCCATTTATCCTAACAGCAGATACCATATACATAAGATGGAATTCAAGTATCCAACAGCATGCTTCACTTTTACTAGAGGAATCATAGGTCATACAGAGTAGTTTGTATTCATATTCACATAACCTTTGGTTTCCAAAAGAAATAGAACTTATCATGATGCCTGAAATCTCCCCATTAAGAATTTCATTTCAGTCCTTTGAGCACCCACAGGCTACTACACGCTACCAGTTACGGCTACCAGTTGAAATCCAGATCAAGTATACTTTCCATTCACCTCAAAGAAAATAATTACCTGGCATAAAAATCCTTCAGTAGAGCATTCCAGAAAGTCCCATTTCAGTCCCCTGCTCTATCTACAGCCTATTCATATGAACTGAGCTGGTCACGTAGTATTAGAACCACAAAGGAACTCTAACAAATACACTGTCAAGGTCCAAAACTCCCAGTAGTTCTCACCTTTCACTTAACTCTGGAAACACCAAAGTTCTAACTACTTTCAGATTTCATCAACCATGCTTCAGTTTTTCCAAAGTTGAGTTACTCACCATCTATATTCACAAGTCCTGTCCTGCATACAGTACACTCTTTTTTTTCCCTGATATCTTGTCTGAGTGACTTCTTTTATTAAATCATGAACAGGGTTTTAACTCCCAGATTTTAACAAACTATCCTGAGACATGGGATTATCCCTTAGCCATTTCTTCTGTACCAGTTCTTGCAAGCAAGGAATAATACTGTATTCTCTCTAGCCAACAAGGATACATGACTACATTTACCCTTATATCACAAAAGAAATTATCCCCCTATTCTTGCCATGAATGATTTCGATTATTTCTAAAATAGAGACTACAAGGACCTGAAAATGGACGAGTAGCTAAACGAGTACCTTACTTGTCTGGAAAGCCATTTTACCACCTTCCTGCCATGCTGCTGAATATTCAAGGCACCTCAATATCCGAATCAAATGGAACAGCTCCAGTAGGCCTGTTCAGCACACCTGGTAGGAGGGGGCATTTCTCTGGGAAGTGAGAAGCAATGAGCTGGATTCACCAGGCACGCAAAAAATTTATACTAAGTTCTACATCATCTCCTAACATCCACTTTTCATTGTCTTTTTTGTGTACATTAGCAAAACTATTTCAGTTTCACTGCCACTCAGATTTGGTGCACCTATCTATGTGCAAACGTATCTAGCTTAATCCACACAAAGAGGAATCCACACAAGCAAAACATAGAAGAGTTCACAGAAAAAATACGCTAAATACTTGTCTAATCCTCTCTCCAACTTGGTATCATCACTCCGTTCAAGCACACAGAGGAAAAGGACATACAGAAAGATACTTCAGAATTGCCAATATGCTCACCACAATAATCAACAAGCCTGCATAACAGCTGCAGGTCTTGCTGAATTACTAAGAACCCCATTTACCATTTAAATTCAAGTAGTACTTACAGCGTTGGCATCAACATCACTGTGTATGGCAACTGTTTTAATCCCCATCTTCTTACACGTTTTTATGACCTATCGTAAAAGAAGTGACAATAATCAATATTTAAAATACCAAAAATTTAAGAATTATCTACAAGAAAAGAAAAAATTAAAAGACTACATACTTACTCGGCATGCAATCTCTCCTCTGTTGGCAATAAGGAGTTTTTCAAAAGTCTGAAGGGAAAAGGACAATAAGAATCTTAATATATGAACAGAACACAAGTTTTTCTCCCTCCAGAAACATGTATTCTTTCCTTCTCCACTTCCACTAAAACCATGGTTTATCCATGAGCTTGAAATTCTTAGATCACGTACTTTTAAAAGAGTTCTGCTGATTTAACAGTGATGATATAACAAACAGTATGCTTTACCAGATCTACCCAGCACACACACAGGTTCAGAAGAAAAAGGATTTGACTATTCACACCAGCACTCTTTGGCTCTCCTTACCATGCTCTGTTCAGAAACTAGAACCCTACAACAGCTCTAGGAACCAGTCAAGTCCAGGGAAGATGTGCAGGAGGGTATGCTGCCTGGCATCAGCACAGGCACACACTGGGAATATGCAGATACAGTGCTGGCAGGTACAGTGGTCAGTGCCCCTAACCAGCTGTTAGATCATAGATGACCTGTAATGCAATACTCACCTGTTATGGGAGAACTTTAAAAGACATTCTCATCATAAGGAAAAGAACCTCCTCTCTATCTAGGGCATGGGTGGGTAAAAGACCAACACTTCCATGCTGTCCAGGCACTGTTGCTGAGTTATACCAGCCTAGCCCCTACTCCTATCTGAGCCTCAGGTGAGGAACCTGGCAAAATCCTTCACTGCCATAGGGACACTGTTACACATTCAATAATAAATAGCAACCATAGTGCAACAGAACAGCAAATCACACTTAGTACACCCCTTAGCACTGTTACCTTTCACACTGGGGTGCACTTAGTGCTTCAGTACTTCTATCATGGCTGTAAGAAGGGGATAACAAGTTGTCAGAAGTCAGTAAGCCTCATATTGCAGGCAAAACCTTCCCATTAAGAAAAGAGTGGTGCAAGAGCACAGTTGTTCAGCCTAAAGATCTCACTGTTGGGAGTAAAAATTATTCTTGTTGCAGGCCTTGCTACTAAATACACAGGTGCACTTTGATACTGCACCTGCTTTGTTGTAAATACAGACTGCCACTGAAAGGGACGGTCCTGCTTTACACACTTATCCCCACTGCTCTCCATGCACCATACCTAGCAGGGATGCAGCTCCAGGACATGGCACCGGTTTAACACAGTAACTGAACTGTCTTCCTCTGCTTCCCCTGCTCTAAATTAAAAAGAACAGGAGAGGGAACCAGCAGGACCTCTCTCTTTCAGGGGTAGCCTGCAATCATACCACATCAGGTTGATCCAACTATACCCTAAGACATTCGACAGCTCTTCTCCCCCCTCTGTAAGAAGCAGTTGGTTTTCTTACGGACTGGGGGGAAAGGAAGTATTGCCACTGCAACAATCAACTCTTTGTTAGCCACACAGTCATTAGTTAATTTGGGGAGGGGAAGACAGGTGTTAGAGGAGAGGAAGGAACACCATAAAACCCCAACAGGAACTGCTACTGACAGACTAGAACATATATTGTTTGTTCTCCTACTCCAAACAGACAAACTCAAGGTGCCCTTGACCAAATTTATTTTTTCAAAGTCAGGGCTGAGCTGACATCACATGATCAGTTTAAAAATACTAGCACGTGATAACACCATACAGAAATTAAGGGACCAGAAACTCTCCAGGTAACAGCTGCAGCAAGCTTATACAGTAACTTCAGCCAGATCTGCTGAACAACACTGCCTGGGATACAGGCACACCACACTCAGAAGATGATCTTACACACTCTTAAGCAAGCTCAATTATCAGAGGTACAAATACTTTAAGAACACCACAGGAGCCAGCAATTTGTTAGGAGAGGTTTTTTAGCTGGGGATCTGATCTAAAAAAGTTACCAACATACTCATACCAACTGTTCCTGAATCTAAATTTCAGCATTCTAGGTACCTATAGATTTTTAGGCATACAGACTTGAGGGGGAACTAAAAAAAATACTTCCAAACACTTGGCATTGAAAAGTTTATTGAATTGAATACTCCATTCAACTTAGTTCTTGGTATGTAAGAGTTGTTTCATTAATCAGCTGTGGTCACAGTGCAAGACAAGACTTTCAGTATCAAGATGTTAAGAATATTTGACATTCATTTTAGTTTCCAATTCTGCAATAAAGACACTGAGAGACCTTGCTCCTGCTGTTAGAGTCTAGTCTCAAGTCCAGCACAATAAGAAGAAATTAAAAACCACATACTGCTTTGAAGTAACATTTTTTTATGTCATTTCCACTAATTAGGTTGAAAAAGTTTCACATGAAAGTCTCATCACTACAAAAACATTAGAAGGGGCAGTGAGTGAAAAAAGCAGAAAAGAGCTTAAACCATCTGTAGTAGCCACTGGTTTAAATGACAGTTCCTAGTTGAGAGAAACCAAATACCCAATTACATTGTCTAAACGTAACTACACATTTAGAAAAGGAGGGAGACCTTGATTAAGCAAGGACTTGAAAGAAAAAATAAATTTTCTGAAGATACCTGTAAAGCCACACTGCTTTTCCCTGTTTCTTAGTACTATTTTACTCATGATTAATTGCTTTTGCACTGATATATAAGGGCTTCTACACCAGTAGAATATCAGTCCTGAATTGCTATCATCTTTGCCCTTGAATACTAGTGTACCTTCAGTCACATTATTTTTCCAAGTGCATTACTTCTTACGTCATGCCAAGACAATCTTCCACAAGGAAAGTTTTTCTTGGCTTGTAACTGTAAATTGAGATTGCTACTGCACAAGCCCCCAAAATGAGGATTTGCTATTCTCTGCAGGCCTTAAAGGCCCATCTTTATCCAAGCTCTGAAGTTCCCACCCCCATGCCAGATCATCTAACAATCATGCTGCCACTATTACATACTTCTGTTTCCACAAAAAGCTTTTGGCTACTCTAGCTCCCAGATGTTTAAACAGGCCCATTACCACCCACAACCATGTAAAACGTTAACGCTTGTTTCATAATAACAACACGTTCAGGCCAGTATGCAACTTTTCCAAGCTCACAATCACTTATTCAGCCTTAAGGTATACACTTGAAGCAGTATCCAATCTTTGACAAGTATCCTGCAAAAGTAACTTCCCTTTGGTTTAAAAAAAAGGAAGAAAAACATGCTATTAAACTACTGATGGGTTATACCAGAAGAACTACCACTGTTAGTAGCAGCACAACCAATTGCCAGCAGTACAGTAAAACGTCAAAGAAAACACGCACCATACCACTTACCTTTTCGTTAGGATCATACACAGATGAATAGAACTTATGTGAGGTTATAAGGCACCATCTTGAGCACAGCATTTCACACTACAGAAGAAAGAGGGAATTAAACCATTTTCTCCTGTTACAGTATGCCATTAAAAACATTTCACACACTGACATCTCGAGGAAACTTCCATATCCCTTTCACTCCCTCAGCAAGTGGATGAAAGCTCATACAGAATCGCTGTTCCCCAAGCACACACCCACAAACAGTAACCAGAAACAATTCAGAAGTTCTAGATATGAAGCCATTAGCTTAGGTATAAGCAGAGCCACACTCGACGACCCACTTGGAACCAAAAAGACTGTAGAAAGCCTCAACACTAAATACTGTCTGGCAGGAAGCATGAAACAGCAGCGACTGGCAACTGCCAGAACTCAGAATCTGTCCATTCAGTCTGAAAAAACTGTTTTCAAGAGCTGCATAAATCTAAGTAGTAGAAAGTAAAGGATCTCCTGTGAAAAGGCTTTCCTGGTTTTTTTTGGGAAAAAAATATGAATATGAACTACATTTGAAGACCAAAAAATAAGGAAGCGTATGCTTGCTTAAAGAGGTTAATTAGAGAATTCACTTACACCCTTCACAAGAGTAGTGAACTTAAGATAATTGAAAATTTGTTAACATTTTAGGTTTCCTGAAAGCTTATACTGATTTGGAAGTATCAGGGGCTGGCAGTAACTGGAATGAGAACACTTCCTACACAGCCCTCTGGCTGATAAAGTTTGAATTCTTATATTCTTATATTGCATCACAGAAAGCAGAAACCAGCCCAGGACTGAGAAGGCCATCACATTTGTAATGCAGCTGACACTATAATCTTATAAAGGAAGAAAAACATTTCAGTAAAAGTACTGTAATACACAACTAAAGGAAGCCTTAGAGCATATCATCTCATGCCAGCTCCAACCAAACCTCATGAGCAGAAAGCTACTATAGTTTCACAAACCATCTAGATGCCATTCACTAGTGGCAGACATAGCATACTTTGTTCCAAGATAATCCAGCTGTGCTAAATTCTTCCAGAATGATTCATATATATTAATTATTCTGAAACTAGGAAAAAAAAATCAATTGAAAGCAACTGTTCCAACCTGTTTCACATGCTGGGCTCTTTCCCTTTCACTTTTTTTGTTTCATTGGGGGTTTTTTGCTTTTTTCATTTTTCTCACTTTATTCCACAAAAATAAAATCCAGAACAAACTGAAACGCAAATCCATTGATTCACTAGAATCAAAACAGCCAGAGGTTGATTGTTTGGGGTTTTTTTTCTTGCAGAGGTATATTATTCTTATCTGAGGATGTGACAGTACAAGCCTTTTCAGGCATTAAAGGGATGAAGCTAAGGGAAGAATTCTGGCAGCTGCAATCACACCTACCAGCTGGTCCTTATCGCAAGTTTACAGAGCGACTGTTACATCTTCAGTGACCGTATTCTGACCTAGACACTGTCAGAGGGAAGAGGAAGGACAGCTACAGCAGTAGCAGCAGAGTACACTCTCCTGCTCCGGAGTACACAGAGTCAAGCAAATTGAGTCCCTCTCCTCCGAAACACTATTGACAGAAGTGCTTGAGGGACCGCAAATAGTCTACAGAAGGTCATACGGGACACACACAAAAAGTCTCCACCGAGTTAATGTTATTCATTGGAGAAAGTGCTTGTTAAGGGTCAGTGGGGCTAATCTAAACACTTGCAGTTAGCAGGGGAAAAGGGGGCAACCAAGCAAGGGAGGAAAAGCTTCTGAACTTTCTTGTAAACACCTTTTATACAAAACTAGTTTTGAATGCTTATGAGAAACCAGAAGAGCCATGCACAGATGAAGACTGGAAGGAAAGGTTATGATGGGAAAAATCAGTTAGCATTAAGCTGTAGAATTTTAGCCATCTTGAAAAAAGCCTTGTTGAAACTTCTTATATAGAAACGGTAAAGTCACCAAGCAATTAAAAAAAAAAAAAAATTGGAAAAACTTTTAAACCACACTCAGGTTTGTTTTTACACTACAGAATTGGACCCATTTCACATAAAAATCTTGCAATAACCTAATCTAATTATGTACCTATGTTTAAAAATTTAACTGCCTCCTCTCACACACACACATGCAAATCACTTAAAATAGCAGGTTTGGCCCTGAATCAGATACATGTGGGTTAACTTGCTAAAACAAATCAAGCATATTGCTCAACTGAGATGGGCAGTTCCAACTTTAATTCACAGCTCTGGAAAAAAGGCATTCCATATGTGTCTTTACTAATATACACTAAAGTTTAAGAGCTTGCTTAATTAGGAATCCACTTCAAGACAAGTCTCTTTAGAGGTCTGCTCCCAGCCACTATGAGCAATTGAATAATTACTTAAAAATAAACAAGCATATTGTAAATAATGCACAACTAAGGCCACAAAGGAACATCGCTAAATTGCCATCTCCAAATCCACAGCTATTCAGGTGTCATCACCTACCCCATGTTCCAAAGTCCCTGTCACAGGTAAGTTCATTAAAAGCTACACCAAAAAGCCCAAAGAACTCTCAAACCATCAACCCAGCAAAACCAATCTAACTCTCAACCTACGTCCTTAACTGGCTGCCTCCACAAAACCACATAATGCCCTAGGTATTACACCCTACTTAGACATTTCCTCAGAACACAGCTCACACAGCTCACCTTGACCTAGTAACATTTTTGTATCCTGCAAAACTAGGAGAAGGCAATAAAGTCACTGGGTATAATCTATTTTTGTCATGACTTGTTACTTCAATTTGATAAAACTTTTGACTCTTGAAAGCCCAAGAACGCAGACTATTCATTTATGAGAGCTCAGCTCAGGACTTCTGCATTTGGCTTGGAGTTTCCCACCTCTAATTAATCTTCAGAAAAAGGTGTTAGTACTGTATTTTGGAAAAGCATCTTGCTTTATCTATTAATGGTGCAATAGCCAAACTGAGCTGAAACCTGAGTAGCTGTAACAGTTATTCTATAACTTCATATAAAAAATTCACACTACACAGTAACTTGTAGAACAGTATGCCCGTAGCACACTGCCACTTTGAGACCTCACAGAGAACCTGCCTCCCCTCAGGCACCCAGTGCGGCCCTAGGAAACCTCTTCAGGTTGTTTAAGGACACGGCATACAACAGCAAAATAGATAATTAACTCATTATTTAGATATGGCTTACCTATGTGTTTTTAAAGGTTTACATGCCCTCACTGAGGAAGGAAATTTCCTTGCCATACTGGTCAGCTTGTAAATAACTCATTGATACTGAGCTTTACAGGCAGAAAAAGGTCCCAGTGTTGAAACAGAGGCATAGAATTCCACATTTGAGGCAGGAAAAGCATCATATATCAATATTTGCTCTAAGAAGTCTAGTATGGGATGGAATGTATATTTTAGAATTACTAGAAAATACAGTAAGCAATACCCTATAGTAACAGCCAAACTAGCCCACCTATTTTCACTAGACTTAAATTCTACTTTCTTCCACTAAGAGTTTTGCCCTTACATTTCCAGAGATTCAGGTTTCAGATACTACGAGAATAACCCCCTTATCTTTGTGGTGTACCTACTCGTAGCCATCAGTATTCATGAGGAGTTAGAAACATGAAGACAATGGGGGTTTTTTTTCACATTTTGATTACACAGCAAGTGTTCCCAAATCTTTTTTATTTCAATTCATTTGACATCATGATTCCCTGTCTGTGGAACTCTACTGATGTATGTATAAAGCACATAGGAAGCAGATACCTTCAGGTGCTGCAAGACTTTTAACGTATCAGGCAGAAAATGCAGCTTCCTAGTACAATATTGTACGAATCTTGTAAATGGTAAAGCAAACACAACGCTTCTGTTCTTTTCTCTAAGGAAGCGCTTTCCTTTGTACTCCCAGAGTCTTGAAGAGCCAAGCACTTGTAAGTGTAAGCAGATTCCCCTGAAGCCAACTGCAAACACAGATGTAGGTTCTGTAAAGTACATTGCACTGTACATGATAGTTCTTTCCCTCTGACTGGGTTTGAGAAACACTCATAACTCTAAGAAGAGAAAATCTGATTTTCATATTTGCCAACACAGCATACAAACTACAAACAAGGAAACACTCACCCACCTAAGGCTATTTTTTTTAAGCTCAGTCATTCCTGTGCCCATGTAGCTTCTCCTCTGTGCCAGTCCCCAAAGTTCTTACAGTCACACAGTGAACCAGACATGGGAATATAACCACCTGAGAAGATAGTCACAAGGAGTGGGGAAAAATATGTTCTCAGGCAGACCTCAGTCCAGCTTATCCAAGATATTTACACAGCAGTGCTGGCACAAGTTGGAGGGAGACAGGAGCTCAAAAGGAGCAGCCTGTGATCAAGGCCAGGCAGCTGCAGAAACTTGGAACAGTTTCTCATGCAGCAGCTTAAACAGCTCCAAGTAAGGCTGGCTAGCACCTGTGAAACAGATCATGGCACTGTAACAATCAATGCAAGTTTGGGGCAGACAAAATCACAAAGTAATTAAAGTACGAAGCGTTTTAGAACAAGAGTGCCATTTTTTACTCAGTATAGACTTTATGATCTCAATTTTTTTCCTTTCAGAATCAATTTTTGCCCTTAGTACTAGGCACAGCACGCTTTCCCTACAAATTTGAAAAAGCTACTCCTAGAAGTAGGAAGAAAACCAGAAATCTCTACCTGTGTGATGCTTTGATAGTGCTTGCCAGTACTAAAATCTGTAGTTTACATACTAGAAACAATCACTGAACTCCAGAAGTCTATGGCTACATTTGTAGCCCCAGACTGGTGATCATTTGAACTCCCTTCCCTCATGACAAATGATACCAACCTTGCATCACATCAGCCTGATGCTTCTGTTCTCAAACAAGGGGGACAATTTTTCCCTGGAATAACAGCATGCTAAAAATAATATGAGAAACAAGTAAGGAGCTCCCACTGTACAGATAACTTCCATGACTTAAAAATGCTGGGTACACAGATGGAAGAGAAACTTTCCATACATTTAGTTCAGTGATTAGAAAACTGATCTACACTAATGAAATCAGTATCAGCAGTTTACCCTTGAATTCATGAAGTATTTATCACTTTGTTCTACATTATTTTAAACATTTTGAGTCTGACAGCTCTCTCAAAAGTTTCACAACGGAAATATCAAAAGCCATCTCTCATCCTCATTCTGTAACTACAGACTTCTTTCAACATCAAATTTTCTCCCAGCTTCAGAAGTGCAAAGCACTCAAAATGAAATTTTGGGTATATTCTAAACAGAACCAGTTCTGCATAAAACCTAAACAGAAGCAATAGGCACTAAATTAGAAACACAACACAGAATCAAATCTGCAGCTCAGTGATTTTTTGCACCCTCCTCCTGTGGTCGTTTATCAATTCCCACATGAAAGTAGCAGAGAAAGTTAAGGACATCTCATTAGCTACTAGCCTTTGCAAAAATTTTAAGAGCTCCTAGCACACTAAAGTTTGAAGACATCAGTTATATCATTTGTCTGTGTCACCAAAATATTAGAGAATCTATGAGAGCAATTTCCATGCTGATTTGTTTTATTAGATGTTTCCAATATACTGTTGTCTTGACGGTGACTTTCATACATAGATATTAAGGGCTAGAAATCACTTCAGTTCCATAAGTCACAACACTACTGGGTAGCTATAAAAACATTTTATTTTATAAAGGTGCCGTTAATGAAACATTTCCATTCTGCTTACACTGGTGCAGTCAGACCATGTCCTGAGATGCCACACAGGACACAAAGTAGGCCTTTTTGAGGGAGGCTCCAAAGGACTGACACCAAAGTCTTAGGACTATTTAGTAGGAACAGCAGAAGCCTTCCACATCTATATACACACACTCACGGCTACCAAAAATAAAGTCTTCAAACAGGACAAGCCCTCTGTCAATTTCAAGTCATCATCTCTAATCAAACCACCTCTTTGCTTTCCAAGAAGCTCCTCTCGCCTACGCTTTCACAGGAAAACAGGTTTACCTATGTATATTTCCTAAGGAAAAATACTTGTGTAAAGCACATGCTGTTTTCCTCTTTAATCTCTTCTCAAAATGCCCTGCCCACATAAACCACCTCTTTTACATGATCCCTAAAGATGTGCAATGCGCTCTCTACAGTACTGCTAGAAGGGAACATTTCTAGAGAGAAACCTTTCCTACACCCTCAGGGGTACACTGGGGAAAACATTTTCTGCAAGTCACTCCTTTCTTCTTCTCTGGAACATGCAGATATCCCCCCACAAATTTTCCTTTGTAGGGGAAAAAAAAAAAGAATTCTTCCTACTGTGAACAATTAGAAACATTTTGCACTACTTTTCCCATATTGAAACTAGTTGTATTGTCATTCCACTGTTACACAACACTATGTGTTAATGCTGCTTGTTTTTATCTAAAATAATCTTCTTTTACACAATCTGTAGATCTAACATAGATCTAATAAAGCAAGCGCCTCAGTGAAAGCACAAAAGTATCTGGGGTAAAGGGGTGCGTGGGGAGAGAAGAGACAACAGTTCCACGAAACCCTTCTCTGTTAGCCAAGATTTTCCGACTAAAAATAGCACAAAACCACCCTCTACCCCAGAGCTTTGATAAGCTCCCATTTAACAGAGAGAGAGAGGGCAGAAGGAAACTGGAATCACAGAATGACAGGATTAATTGGGTTGCAAAAGATCTCCGAGATCATCGAGTCCAACCTGTGCCCGAACACCACCATGAACTGGACCACAACACTGAGTGCCACGTCCAGTCTTTTCTTAAACACCTCCAGGGACGGTGACTCCACCACCCTGAATCATCCCAAACCTGTCCAGCAGCATAAAATTAATTAAAAAAAAAAAAAAAAAGTAAATAACTAAACTCCCCCGGTCTCCTGGCAACACGCCGAAGGTCTACATCAAGGAACGACCTCTCGGATGCTGACAGCCCTCAGGCACAGCAAACAGGAGGCAGCTCTTGCAGCTGCCCGGCCCCGCCTCCCCGCAGCCGGCACCCGCGGGCACCCCCGGCCGCTCCCCGCCGCCCGCCCGGGGCCGGAGGGGCAGCACCTCACACTCCCACAACCACCACCCACCGGCCCCGCCGCGGCCGCACGGCCCCGGACACAGAGCTCCCCTCGCCCGGCCGGGGATTCCCGCCCGACACAGGGGGACGCTCCTCGGGGGGGCCGACACCCCACACCCCTCTTCCCCCTCGCACAGGGAACAGCCCCCCACCCGGCGAGCCCGTCCGACCCCATCCACAGGGACCCTCCGCCGCCCCGGAGCGCGGCCCCGCAGCCCCGTGCTCCCTCCCAGGCCGGCCCCGGGCGCCGCTCACCGCCGGCCGCCCCCGCCGGCCGCCCCAGCGCAGCAGCGCCGCCGCTGTCGCCGCCATGTCCGCGCGGCCGCGGATGCCCGGCCGCCCTTTCCCCCGCGCCGGCGCCGCCGGGGCCGCGCCGCGCGCAGCCAATCCCGGCGCGCGCCCGCCCGGGGCGGGGAGGGGCGCGAGGGGCCCGCCGCGCGCCGCACGTGCCCCTCCTCGGGGCTGCGCCTGCGCGCGCCGCTACGGGCGTGCCTGCGGCAGCCGCGCGCGCCCGCGGCCCCGCCCCCGCCGCGAGCTTGAGCCGAGCTCGAGCCGGGCGCTCGCGGCGTGAGGGGCTGACCCGGGGGAGGCGCCGATCCCGTTGCGCCCACAGGGAACCGCGGAGTATCCTGGGCTGGAGGGGACACAGCTGCTCGTGAATTTCATTCGGTGACGCTTGAACAGATAAATCACTGATTATCCCGAGTCGGAAGGGACCCACTGGGATCACCCAAGTCACCCCATCCTGGCTCTGCACAAGAAATCCCCAAGAATCATACCATGCGCCTGAGAACGTTGTCCAAACGCTTCTTGAACTGACAGGCCTGGTGACCGCTTCCCTGGGGAGTTTGTTCCAGTGCTCAACAACCCTCTGGGTGAAAAACCTTTTCCTAATATCCAATCTAAGCCTCCAACACAGCTTCGTGCCATTCCCTCACGTATGGGGCTGCCTGTGTGCCTGCCAGGAGCCACAGCAGTACAGAGAAGGGATCCATCCACCCACTGGACTTCCCTGGAATGAGGGTGAAAAGTGCAACTGTGCCAGATGCCTGATCCAAGCTCTTGCCCCATGGAACAGGAGCAAGGTCGGAATGAGAGGGGTGCTGCTAATCTTCTGCAGGAACTACTCACTGCTCGGCTCCCTGGCACAGAGCACTCCAAGTCAGCCTCTTCTAAAATGACCTGTGCAGCTGAGTGCGGGTGTCCTGGATACCAGCTGATAGATGTGACAGAGTAGTGCCAATCCCCAAGTAAACTGTCATCCCAGGAAATGCTATAAAAGTGTTCTACTATGATAAGAGTGCCTAGGAAGCATCACTGTTACCATCTCAGACTTCTGTTGAAATCCAACAGAGGCAGAAGCTGCCCATAACACAGAAGTGTAAAAAAGACACAATCCAAGATGTTCAAAGCAGTGTTCACAGTTTTTTCTTTTAAATAGTGTTATTTCGAATATTTGTTTTTTTCCTACAGTGATAATGTGCGAAATGAGGGTAGACCTGAGCCTCCTCTTTATCCTTGCTCCAGCAGCAGATCAACACTACGTTTTCTGAAGCTAAAAGACAATAAGTAAAGGAAAGGGAGTAGGTCATACACAGTTTTCAGTTCACCCAATACATGCTTTGTGACAAGCTCCCAAGAGAGCTAAAAGACAGGAGAAAAAAAAAACACATCCAGAAGGAAAATTTATATAGGCAATACACATAGTTATATTAGGAATAAATACCTCAGACTTTAGACACAAGCTAAGTCCTCGAGCAGGTAAGAAGGCAGTTCCTGTACAGCCAGAAGACCGTGTAACTGCAGTACACCCATTGTTAGAGAGGTTTTACCAGATTACATCACCCCTTCAATTCACACATTATTACATCAACCCTTACATTTTTATACCATGCTTTTATAATCCTCAGTAAATGCTCTCAGGCTGTACATGCAATCACATTCTGCAATAAGAGCCAGGATGTCCCAGAATAACTGGCACATTCCCATGCCGCAGGGAGGCACCAGAGCCAGCAAGAAACTGCTGGGCAAGTGGGTTCACCCAAATGTGGGTGAACCACATGAGGTTCTAGCTGCATGGTCACCCCAGCAAAACTCAAGTTCCTTGCATTTACACATAATATTGAAAAAAATTGGCCTAGTGTTATTGTTTGACATTATTTTTTAAACCCCTTGTATCAGTATTTACATTCAAACTGAAAACAGGTGAAAGCTGTGACCAAAAAAAAAGAACACTGGTATCTCAAGGGAGGGTGTCAAGAGGATGGAGCCAGGCTCTTCTCAGTGGTGCTGAGCAATAAGATGAGGGGCAAAAGGCAGAAGCTGAAACTCAGTTCCACCTGAACATGAGAAAGAACTTCTTTACTCTGAGGGTGACTGAGCACTGGAACAGGATGCCCAGAGAGGTTGTGGAGTCTCCTTCCCAGGAGATATTCGAAAGCCATCTGGAAACAATCCTGAGTAACATACTCTAGGGGTCCCTAGGAGGGAGGTTGGACTAGAAGACATCCAGTGGTCCCTTCCAACCTTAACCATTCCATGATCTCTGCTGCATACCAAGGATAAGTGAAATAATTTCTCTCCCTTTCCTCTCAAGTGACTAGCAAAAATAAAATCAGCATTGCCTCCCCTCTGTTGCATACTTATGCATTTGCTCTGCTCTGTGAACAGTGCCTACAACTGCACAGGGGGGAACAATGCCAGAAAACTGTACTTAGTATGTCTAGAGGAGGTCACCGTATTTTCAATTGAAAGTCACAAGCAGACACTGCAGAGGTTTTTTCTCAGTACATGTGGAGAGCCTTGAAAGTAAAAGAGACCAAGAGCAGAAGGGAGGTGTTGACCACATTGTCACTCACCACAGGCTCTGCGTTAGATAGATGCACAAAGATACACACCACAACATCATGTTATTGCATTAGAACAATATCCTGAGGCACTTGACGTCAGTTCCTCCTACATGCATAAAGCAAACAGTCACATGGCATCTACCGGGGTGTTTTCTTTTCTTCTACAGAGGAGATTCTGTTTGCCGGCCCCAGTTGAGGGACCGGCAGCCACCTACGGAGATGCATCAAAGGAGGCCCCCCACAGCTGCAAAGGGAAACTGGCTGGAATTACACACAGACACCACCAGCTGGGTGCATAAAGAAGTTGATGAGAAATGGCCTAATGCAAGCCTGTTTCGAAGTGAAGCTAAGGCTCCTTACGAATGGAAAGGACTGGGGGAGGGGGGGGGGAAATCTCAAGAAGGCTAATCTTATTCCATTTGCACATCAAGTTTTCTGCTTTCAGTATGATTTGATCAGTATGACTGACAGATTTCTAGTAACAGTCTTTTTGCCTATTCTATTTTGAAATGAATACTGCACACAAAATATAAAATTTTGTTTCTGTAAGAAAAGGAAGATATTTAATGGATCAACATTATACACAATTAACAATGAACATTTGAAAAAAAAAGGGCTTAACATACATCACCATTGCAAAAGAAATCATAGATATACAAAAATCAAATTGCAAAAATAAAATATCTAGAATAATTAAAGGATATGCAAGTTTGGATAAAAACAAAGACCCTAGTCCTGTGTGTCTGCAAGCACATTTGTAATGCCATAACTCTCCCATCTGTTATTAAAGCTATTAACATGCATAAAGTAAAGTAGGTTTATAAGATACTGGAATACATTGCAACTATTCTCTCATTATTTTGAGGGGATCCTGGGGAACTGCGGCTTTCAGTGCTGAAAATCTCCTTGATCCTTTCTTTAGAGCAGAAAGTTACCTTCATCTTCTAACATAACCCCAAACTCAAGACAGGAATCATAAGTTATTGTATTGTTACCTAAATTTTAAGCTGTAACCCAGGGGAAAAACTGGAGTAATTGTAATACTTCATCTAATAAGGAAGATATTGTATCTGGTTTATAGAATATGAAATGCTTTATGCACAAAAGCCTGTGCCTGAAGAACTCAAAGCTAGAAAAATTCTTTGAAGTATCACTTATATATTCTGTAAACAGCCTTTTCTCCTATCAGCATTCTGCTCAATGCACTGCAAGAGATGGAAATTCAGCCTTAGAGTCAGACAAGTCAATATCTCCCTACATCTCTCTGCTATGTACCTACAGAAAAACCTTGACTGTGAGGAGAGATCCTTCATGCCAGACTCATCATCATTCAACTTACCCAGCCATCAGGTCTCCTCAGGAAAGTCCTGAATCTCCCTGGCTTCTGAAGCTTCTCAGGGGCAACAAAAGCACCCCTGGCCCATTCTTAGAGGCGCTTGACTTCATTCTATACCAGGCTTCAGGGGTGGCTTAATCCCCAAGCCAGGTTGCCTTTTTCTGTGACACTGTGATCCCCTTGGCTCCCAGAGGCAACTTGGCCTTGTGCAACCACATAGCTTAAGAGGCTGCTTTGGGACAGCCTGGATCACCCCAGCTATGAGGGTTGTTCAGAGAGGGCTTGAAATACCAGAGTCCATATAATTTCTCATAAGTGCCATCTCAGCCACTCTGACTCCCAGCCTCCAGTGCTCCCTAACAACATAGCTTAAAGCAAGGATGAAGGCTCAGGCCTGAGCTTAATCAGACGTCCCAGGATATGGGTGGAGTCCCTTTGTCTTGAGGACCATGTCTGGTTACCCCTAGCCTGATGATGTGGATCAGACACAAATTTCAACTTTTTCACATCCACAGGATGTTAAAAGCCCATTAACAGAAGCATGATGTGAAAACCAGGAGTTTAGCGCTGCTTGCCTCAGACCTAGCTGGAGTCTGCACAGATCCTGCAGCAGAGAGGGCAGGCAAAGGCTGGGAAGCAGATCATCTTGCAGAGCTTTTCAAGCAGCTCGTGAGGTGCAGCCCTAAATGGTAGTGGTTACCAAGGAGAGTACGTGCACACTTCGGGAAGACATCACACTTGGATGTGATGAAGTGATACCCCTTAATGAAATTTCTTACAAGATTAGCACAGGAATTACAACTGCTTTGACACTGTGGAGTAATGTCTCTGTGGGAATTGTGTTTTTCCTGTGATTTCATGGACTAAAGGGTTCTGCAAGAGTGCATCAAAGTGGCAGGGATCCAGACAACTGGAGAGAGTTCTTTCAGGAGAAAAAGGATGAGAATCTGAAATTCATAGAGAGTACGCAAAAAGTACCAAAAAAAAGTATTCCAGTGTAGTCTGGAGGTAAATACAACCATAAAGAAATACTGAAACAGACTTGTGGGCTGAGGAGGACTCAGACTGTGCCAATGTAAAGATCTTGCTTCCTCCTCTAGAGCCTTGGGATAAGGGTGTTACAGAAC